GGGGGGGGGGGGGGGGGGGAGAGTGTAGAGGTCTTGTGTGCGCCACATTCAGCAGGTGGTTGTTGTGTGCGTGCGGTCAGTTTGCCGCGCTTCAAAAATCCCACGCGGCTGTGATTCTGTTCGAGAAATTATTATTGCTGAGCTCTTGGTGTCTGCCTTCTTTCCCGCTCCAGGGAAAGAGTTGCTAAAATATTAAGCGGGGCATCGATCTAGATAGACACTACAGACAGGTTGGGCGATGCCAGGGAGGGAAAACTGCCGGCGATTTGCTGTCTGCTCAGATACCATGATGGTGGGGCGTGGCATATGTGACACAAGCGGGTAGATATTGGTGACAGAGACATTGGGACGTCGGAGAGGCGAAAAACGAAAGGCGAAGATTTCCCGTGTCCTGCCGCCGGCGCATCTTCCGACAACAGCAGCAGAGCAGCTGGGGTTTTCGGGGGGGTAGAAAATAACGCATCTCTCTGAACCCGAGGCAAGCAGGCGGCAGCAAGGGCCCAATCGTAGCAGCGTCATCTTTTATAGCGGGGACGATCTTTCGCGCACCCGCAGCACCCACACCCCTTCCCCTCTTCGTTGCACCCACACACACCCTCTATTCATTGAAGTAAAAAAAATGCGGATAAACCGGCCGGCAACGACGGCGGGAGCAAGGGGCAACAAAAAAAAAGTATGCATGCACAGCACTCACTTGTACCACGGGAAGCATGCATCCGTGCACTTGAGGCAGCCGATCGCGCAGGAGTCCGTGCAGGACTTCTCGGGCTGGCGAGGAAGCGATTCGGAGGCGTCTGGGGCCATGCCTACCGGCTGTGTATCGATGCTCTGGTAGTTGACCATGGTGTAGTTTTGCTGTTTTGTGTCACCAAAGCGCGGTTTGCCGAAGGGAGGTTGGTGGGTGAGCGTGAGAGCACTACCTGCTGTACCGCCGTGCGTGCCTGTCCTTGCTGCTGGTCGTGAGCACCCCTCACGCTGTCTGTAGAGTTTTTCCGCCTTTGTCGCTGTTCTGTCTGGCTTGTTGGTGCGGAATGTGGGTTGGTTGCGAAAGTGGTGTGGGCCGAGAAATAAAGCAGGCAGTGGCTGCGATGAAAGAGGGAGGTACTTCATCATCAAAGAATCAAAATCCGATCCTTGTGGTCTGTAGCAAACAGGAGCAGAGAGCGGGACGCAGAACGTTCCTCCTACACACGCTTGTTTAAATATTGTATATATAGTTTTTTAGAAGAGAAGTGGCCCGATAGGGACGCTTTTGTTCTAAAAAAATATGCTGTTTCGAGGGGGGGGCAAAACGGGCCAGGGCCGTCCGACGGTCTGTCTGTCTGACTGTCTGACCAGCCATAAATAAGCCAGCAGATTCCAGCCCATTTCACCATCTCGGCACCAAATTGCAATCTAAGACGTGTTCACAACAAGCAATTTTGCCCGAGCTGCCCCAACTGCTACCTCCTCAATCCGTGCTTGGTGCGTCGAGATAGTGCAGCGTCGGTACCCAACTTGAAGCAGGGAAGTTTCTGGCCCCTTGCAACACCGAGAGGATGTGTCGTTTGATGTTGAACCAAGACAGATAGCCTCGTACACCACACACACCACACACACAGAGCCAGACATGGACAAACAAGGAGAGGGAGACACAGACCACGGCGAGGGCGGGACGGCGGGAGAAGGGTATGCCATACACTGTTGCTGTTAGCTATCGGCGGAGGATGCGAGAGGAGAGATCAAATGTTGCAGCAGCAGCAGCAGCAGCAGCAGCAGCAGCGGCCTCTCTCTCGCTCTTTCCGCGGAGAGGGACACATGGCACTAAAAACACACAGACGCTGCTACGCGCCACCATTGGTGCGACATGTACTGCTGTACGCCTCTCTACACTTTTGTGCGCGAAGGCCTAGTGTGCGACCAGTGCCTTCCGTGCTAGCCTGGTTACCCATCACACGCTTGAACGCTTTTGAGATTTCTCGATCGAAGCTCCAACAAGCGAAGCAAATCAGCAGACATTTATTTTTTTTAGCTGCTACTTGTAGCCCTAATTTTTAACATACCACACCCCTCCCTCCCCCTCGGAGTAGACCTCCCTCCCCCCCGGTGTTTGCCATGGGGGTTGGGTTTTCGTCGCTTGGCAACGAAGTTGTAAAACAAGCCCCCCCCTCGGTGTTTGCCATCGGGATTGGGTTTTCGTCGCTTGGCAACCACGTTGTAAAACAAGCCAATTCACTTCGTGAACTCGGCAAAGGCCACCCTGACTCTTGAAATGATGGGTTCGAGTCCGTGTTGTTGTTGTTGTTGTTGTTGACTTCACATTAAACCGTATGCCAGTTGCTAAATGCCAAAATCTAGCAAAGACTCTCAGCCCGTGGTCACGAAAGTGCTAGAGCCATCTGAGGATCTAAAGAACACGCACACGTAGCAAGAAAAAGGTGTACAAGAGCCCGAAGAGGTACTACTACACCTATATATCATCCCTGCAGCACCGTACGCGTGGAGGTGTCTTTTTTTTCCAAGAAGACATAATTTTTTCCGGAGTTCATCACATTGATTGGCGCCCCTCAAACGTCTTCTTCGCAGCGCCTCTCGAGATCATTGTCACACGGTTCAGCCAAGATGAGGTTATCGTGCGGGACCTAGTGTACTTGAAGGAGGAGGAACGGAGGGGGG